GTGGATTCTGGCTGCTTCTTGCAAGTTTCTCCAAGCAGACCTGGAAAGCCCCAAGGGTTCTTCTTTTGTCGTGTGAATAACACAAGACAGAAAATATGTGAGAAGCATATTGGAAAAGAATCAGGACATTATGGTGATACTGGATTGTTTCACTAGTATGAAATTAGTTTGAATGTAACAATTTCTCCTATTGTGTCAGACCAACCTAAGCTAGGTTTTTGATTCATTTATTTAGTCTCTCAGTTTATTGTTATAAATACCACAGCAAAGATGAGTTTATTTCTGTTTTGTGTGTAAACAACTGGTGGAAATCCCCAAAATGTCTTGTAAAATTGCTCTTGCTCAATTTAGAACACTTTTAGAACAATGTAGCTAAATTAGTTTATCTACTTAACTCTACATAAATATGCCTGCAACTTACACAATAAAAATCAAAATGTCTCAAAGCATGATTATCTGCCATAATTCTTTTTATAGGTGCTAGCTAATAAGCTTAATTTCTGTGGCCTTTTATATCAGCAAACTGGAAACAAATACATCAAAATGGCTATTTTTTCTGTGTGAAACATTTATTATGGCAAATGCGTTCGTGGAAATTCACATTTAATTATGCTGCTTGGTTTTAGGATTTTATTCCTTGCTGTCTACACAAGGAAATCAACTTATTTTTTTTAAAATAAATAATATTTTTGAAAAATGGCAAAAGATCCACAACCTTGTATTCAATGTTTATTTGATTTTATTTATATTTACCCCTTTTGGCTTAATAGACATTATTAATGAATACATGTGTCTTATATTGCTGCATTTTCTTATCTTCTGCCTGAAGTGTATGCTTACATCAAGCGCCCGAAAGGTCCAGGTTCGTTTTGATTGAACAATTACCTAGAAAATTAGAAGTGTTCATTATTTGATCTTAGCATATTGTAGCATCCAACACAGAGCAATTCATATTTTGCATGTTTCCTTCTTTTTTGTGTGTGTCTTCCAAACTTATCTGGTTCTCAAAAAAGAAAAGGAATTCAAAAGGGAAAAAGAGTTGTGCAAACTTTATTTTTTAAAATAAATAAATAACTGGGTGTGTGTGTGTGTGTGTGTGTGTGTGTGTGTGTGTGTGTGTGTGTGTGTGTGTGTGTGTGTGTGTGTGTGTGGGGGGGGGGGGGGTGTGTGTGTGTGGTGTGTGTGTGTGTGTGTGGGGGTGTGTGTGTGTGTGTGTGTGTGTGTTTGTGTGTGTGTGGCTCTTGTGCAGGTGGATCTAGTGAAGAACATCAGTAAGATCCCTCAGCCATTTCTCTACACAAGACATGTTCACTTCATGAATTTCACCAGGTACAGTGGAGCAGCAACAGAATAAAAAGCTGAGCTACATTGTTCATTAACACTTATTGGCTAATATACAGTATTCGAGATATGAGGGGTTTTTTCTTCTTTTTTTGCAGGTTCCGGATAGAGCAGCCTGTATACATCAACATAATCCGGGATCCTATAAGCCGGTTCCTCTCCAACTATTTCTTCCGTCGCTTTGGTGATTGGAGAGGGGAGCAGAACCACCTCATCCGAACGCCAGGGATGAAAGATGATGAGCGATACCTTGTGAGTACTTTGATTTCAGCAATTGGGACTTTAAAATCATTTCAGCTTAAGGTGCAAGATGCACTACACAGTTCACTTCATTGATTTTTAATTTTAATCCCCATTCTTGTAGGTTAGTGCACATTTGATTATGCTAAAAAATTGTGAGAGAAAAACATCCTGTCTGATTAAGGGCTTTGTGCCTCAGTTGGATATGGAGTTTTATGCTTTCTGGAGTTTTTGTGTCTCACCAATCTAAATGCTTGACCCTGTCTAAGGGTTACAGCCAGGCTTGGCTTCTAAAACAGTCAGCTTCTATGAATAATGAGGACACTTCCTTTTGACAGATGGAAAAGCACTATTACTCAGTGTATTCCTGCATGTGATTGCATGTCCTAAGAAGTGGAAATATGTCCTCATCAGGCTGATGAGGTTTAAGCAAAGTGTCTGTTACTGTTTCTGCACTTCCTACCTGATGAAGTTTCTTTCATGTCCTCTTTGATGGTGGATGTTTGATTGAGAGATGGAGCTCATTTTTCTTGATTGTGTGGAGTCATCCTTTATCTGGAAACTGCTTTTATTAGTCCTTTGCTTTTCTTGGGTTTCAAAATGTACTTCTCTTCTGAGGACTGTCTGGAACGGCCATTTGACTGATTTTAGTTATGTACTACAACCAAATATAAAGCATTTGCTCCTTTAGTCGTTAAATCAAAACCATCTGTTTAATTAAGGCCTATTTTTCCACAGAATAAATGACGTCCCTGACTGAACACCATTCTGCTCCAATTTATAACCCCTTTCAATTAATGAAATAATTAATAAAAGAAAATTAGCATCAGGTGGGGTTGTTTTATGATATTGTTTTTTCTACTATGCCCGCTGGGAATGAAAGGCTTTGTAGAAATATGATTCACCATAACAGTACTAAAACTGGTCAACTTATTTGCAAAACACTAAACTGGCACCTTTGAAGAGAGAGCTGACTTTCTTATCATTTTGTTTCAATCCTACATTTTCAGTTGGTTTTTCTAAGGAATCTATTTTTAGTCACATCTAATGAGCCAAGCAAGAACTGTATCTTGTAGCATTCCTCTTCTCTTTCTGCTATTTATCCCAGTCCCAGTTTCCACAAGCCCATTAACTCTCCTATTGACTTTGGCAAGATCAATTTTACAGATGCTTATTATTCAAAAAGCTAATGCATTCAGAATGTTCAACACACTATTGCTGCATGTTTGTGCTGTGAGTGATTCTCTCTCTTGGCATTAACAGTGCTTTGAGATAGGACTCGGTGCTCTGATAGCCTGAAGTTCTGCTCAGATATGAACTGAAACAGAAAATGCTAATGTTTGATTCCAGCGTGGCGTTCATGTAAACTCTAATTATACAGTGCTTTGACACTAAAAGGTCTTTGAAGATGTTCCAGAAGCAGGAAATACTGTGTTACCATTCATACAGATCCTGAAGGAATGTCTTTAATGTGAATGCCTAGGTTATCTGAGAGTAGTTAGTGTCTCACTAACAGAAAAAGAAAAATACGTACATTTAATGTAGAAAATAGGATAAAACTCACTCAGAAAATTATCTTTGAAAACTTACCTTTTGCAACACTAAAGGACGCTTTGCACCAACCATTTAATTGCAGCAAGGCATAGCAGAGATACTGAGAAAATATTGACAGAGTAAATTGTTGTATACAAAAAATCAAGTCACAACCTGATATCAGCCTTTTTATCAAATCATAACAAACCGAGGCAGACATTTTAATTACAGACATTATCTATTCTATACCATGACAGACTTATGTACATATATTTTTTGTAAAACATATGTATATATATTTTTTGTAAACCGGCTGTCAGGTATTAACCTGACAGCCGTTAATACCAGATAAAAAATATATATACATATGTTTTTTTTAAATGCATTTTGACACTTCCTGTGATATTATTTAGATTTATTTTTATCTAATTATAATTTGCAATTACAATTTTCAACGTATTTAATAATTATCCCAGCCTGATCATATATTCATGTCAGAGTCAGAGACCTAAGAAGGGTCATTCTCAAAAGGCTAACAAGAGCAGCAATAAACGTCAGCCTGGCTTGAGTCAGACGGGATGTAATTAAGTGTTGCACTGTTTTCCCTGGAGTGAGACCATGTGAGTTGAGTTATTAAAGTATGCAGACTACAGGGGCCCCTTCCTACAGTTTAGGGGGAGGAGAAGCCGTGGTGTTATACAAAGTTACCTGTGCTTTGAAAGTCCCATTTTCAGTTTGCTACAAGTCATATAGGGAACACAGCAAACTTGTGGAAGAAGGAGCTGTGGTCAGAGACAAAAATGTAGCATTTTGACTTGCAGACAAGATGCAAGGAGTTAAAGAAAACTAACATCAAATCATTTCAATCATTCAATGCTTATAGTGAAACATGGTGGTGCCAGAAGCATGCTGTGGACATGGTTTTCTTTAGCAGGGACAAGGAACCTGGTGAGAGGTGATGGGAAGATGAATGGAGTTAAATACAGGGCAATCATAGAGGAAACCTTGTTAGAGCCTATCCTCTAATGCCCCTATAACCAGTGTGAAGGTTCACCTTTGGATTGGCGTATTATATGTCATTGCAACAGAGTGCATTGAAGTTGTTCAAAGTGTTTGGAAAACTTCTGCATAGCACTGTAAATGTCAGTAGCAATTCTGACCAGGAGATTATTGTTCTGACCAACATTGTTTATTAACACTTATAGAGAATAGAGAATCAGGATTCTTTCCCAGGCATGTCACCAATTAAAGTTTAAAGTGTTATCAGATGTATCTCCCTGCCTGGTGTGTGTTAGCCTTCGCTGCCCTCCTTTTGGAAGAATTTCAAAGGTGTCAATGAAAGAACACTGTCAGTCTGCCTACATGTGCAAAGGGAACCCTATGCACATGTTGCAGAGACATTCCTGTGGTCCAACTGGATTTTCCGTCAGTCTCCACACCCCTCTTTATACACATTAGCTGTCCTTTACAAAGTGATGTAATGGTTACTTGACCTCATGACATATCCACTTCAGATAAGCGTCTGTCAAGTCGCTTATCATTCATAATCTATAATAATCGATTGAACCTTTAATGAATTTAGGTCACATATGAAATGGCAACTTGATTTAAGTTTTTCAGATTACTTGCCAATTTCTCTCTTTAGGTCTGCTTAATCTCATTAGACAATTTATGAAACAATGTATTTCCATTACAATTGTGCACAGATCTTCGCTTATGTTCTGTTAATGTACAACCTTGCTAATGTGAACAATCCTACTTCTGCTGGTTCATGTGATTACTCATACAAAATAGCAGCAATGGATGTAAGGGCATGCAATATATTCATAGTTCAGCCCCAGTGTTTGCGCTCATCAATTATCAGTCATCAGTGGAGTCAGGGTTTTCTTGTTCAGGTGTTGGAGCAAAAAGCACCTTATATTTGAAAGCCCCGTTTTGGGGAAATTGTTGTCAGCAATTTTAAAGAAGAGCTATGGACTCAACACTTTGGAATGATACAACTTTTTATGAACACCTCCGCTAGAGACAGCTGCACAAACTAGGGCTCAAACTTTGTGAAGCAAAAAAGAATAAATGAAATAGACCTGGGGAGTTCTCACTGTTGAAAGACAGTTGTCTGATCAAGAGATTCCCACCCTAACTGAAAAATCATCTGTTTCCAGTTAAACTGTCAGTTACAAGAACCTTGAAAAGAATAATTGCACTCACAAAGAAAGAGGCTTTACTGACATCAGTCATGTCTCAACAAGCCTTGACATTGGGAACACTATGACACTGTCTCCCTCGTTGTCTCCCTGATTGCCTAATTTGTGACCAACTCACTAAATTTGCTTTCTTATTAATATTGAGTACTAGAATTCCATATTTTCAGATTTTTTTTTGTCCAAAAAGATGACATAAAGTGATTTCCCTGGAAGACTTCAAAACCGATAACCTGTTATGAGATTCTTTTTCCTCATAGATTCATTGACTCGCATGCAAGTGTTTTGGGGGCAACAATTAGGAGGTTAATTAGGATTTTGACTTGATAGTGTTGAATGAAATCAAATAGTTATTTTCAAGTTCTGCACTTACTGTTTTTAAAGATATCCTATTGCATTACTGTTATGGCCTATATATATATGACTGAAGTTCTTCTCCATATTATTAAAATTGTTTGTCTTTGACTACTGACTGCTGGGATAGGCATGTTAGATAATGGGTAGAAGGGAAGCCTGGCACACTTCCTCATCGATAAAATTTTATAAAGTCATGTGCATGAGATTTGTGCTGTTGTCAATGATTCATCAGATAAACCTTTGGGGGTGAGTTTCCTCCACTGCCCTCTTGAGGTACAAAGATCATTTCAGCTTAAAACAGCCCAAAGAACCATTTCTATGGTGCACACATTTGGTGCCTGCTGCAATCATGTCTTAAATACTGCATTTTAACTTCTCTTTATTCATTCACAATGTAATGCAAGTAACCCTCAAAGTTTGAATGTGGTATTGCATTGTTAAAAGAGAATATAAGGTTATATAGTCACTATTTAATAGGGAACTAAGAGTTGCACTTCTCCTTATTATCAAAAAAGAAACATTGGTCAGCATTCTATCTTCAGCATGAAAACATCCCTGGGGACAGATAGAATAAGACATAGGGAAATAATCGGATAACATTGCAACATTGTTCAAAAGCAGGTCATTCTGAGGTCTAGGATGTGTGACAGAGACTGATCTGGGAGAACAAAAGAGTGACTGTTCATCCACATATGGAATTTTCCACATTTCATCCTCATTCATTTTAATACACTAAAACAGGTAAAACAAAATTTTATAATCACTTTTTGTTTTCTTGATTTAGTTTGAACCTTCTTCTATCATGGAATGATTAGACAATAAACAAGAGCAATGAAATCTAGAAACAATAATTTAATAAAGAAAATTAATATTTCTTCAATATTAATTAAAAAAACAGACACAGTTAAGGCACAGTTGGTTATTTCAGTAATGCATAAACAATTGCAGAAGTGATCTTCCCAAAGCCTCAAACTTAAGCCTCCTAAAAAAAATGTGTGTACTATGGTTGAGATCTGGGTTCATTCATGAAAACCAACCAATTTAAATTAGACATACTAGTTTCGCTAAGGAGACTGGTGATTTATCCAGTTAGATGCCACATATCGGAAAAAGAACGTGAACAATAAATCCAAACTTGAACATGAAATTATTTTCTTAACTTGCACTGAAGGTTATAAAACTATTCCAATGCTTCAAAAAGAATTGACATAAATGAACCATTAAACTCTGACATTTCATTTGCATCCATAATAACTTGAAGCAATATGCACAAGTATCTAGAAGAATATGCTGCATGTGCAGAGAAATTAATTTCTTATTAAATTATGGTTCAGTTCTAGTCACATAAATACAATAAATTAGTCTTTATAATATGTAAATGTATAAAGCATTATCTGCCTATGAAAATCAGTTGATGTTATCAACTTTGTTTCTGTTCACTGTTTAGTTGCTCTGTGTTTGTTTTAAGGGTTGCCAAACTACTTAATAAGAGGACATCATGCAAATGTGTTTCATGTTGTTGGCAGAGATATAAAGTTTTACTCACAAGGAGGTGTTAGCGCAACAGAGAATAATTTAATAATGGAAAGAATTATAATGGAAATCAAATAAAGAAAATTAAATATGTCAATAGTTCTTGAGTGAAAATTACAAAAACATATTAAATGATCAGTATCCCAATTACACCGTGTTCCAAATTTTTATGCAAATTGGATTTAAGTGTCATAAAGATGAAATATTTTGTTGTGCTATTAAATTTATAGATGGTATTGTGTGTCTGGGCTCTTTCAATCTTTATAATTAATTTCAGAGAGCTGTGTTGATTAGTTTGTCTGGTGAGTTCAGTTAAAGGAAATCTGTGTTCCACATCATTAAGCAGGCCACAGGTTTCTAGCAATATGGGAAAGAGAAAGAATCTCTGCTGAAGAAAACCATCAGATAGCGTAGAACCGGATGACAAGGTGTGAAAACATTAGATATTTAACAAAAACTGAAGCGTTATTATCGTACTGTGAAGAGATTTGTGGCTGATTCAGAACAAAGATGGGTTTGTACAGATAAAGGGATAATGAGGAAGGTTTCTGTTAGACATATTCATCGGATTAAGAGAGCAGCTGATGAAAGCCCCTACAAAGCAGCAAACAGTTATTTGAAGCTGAGGCTTGCAGTGCATAAACCTACTATTCAGCCACCCCTAACCAGAGCTCACAAGCAGAAACGGTCGCAGTGGGCCCAGCCGTACATGACGATTCATTTTCAAACAGACTTGTTCACTGATGACTGCTGTTCAACCATGGATGGTCCAGATGGATGCAGTTGTGGATTGGTGGTGGATGGCCACCACATACCAACATGGCTGTGAAGTCAGCAAGAAGGAGGAGGAGTCATTTTTTGGGCCAAAATCATGAGCAGAAAAATATAATATAAATAAAATATCTTCTCTTTCATTATACACTTAGCACATTTTACTTTATGTACATTGTAAAACATTATGACTGGTGCTTCAGCCGCTCATTGCTTTTTTACTACTCCAGCAGCTGTCTGCATGTGTTTGAGCATATTGCCAATCAGATCATATGATACAGTCAGGGAGTTGTGTCAGCCAATACATCCTGTCTTTAAGCAGTAACATCATCGCAAAGATTGAAAAACATCTAAATTATTTGAGAAAACTCAGATTTAATAACACAAACATATGTGTGCTATTACAAGTTTGATTCAAGTTGTTCTCCTGAAATCAAACAATGACTTCAAAAAGTTGCTCATGCAATAAAAAAAAGGCTGCTTGGTTTCGACACTGAGTTAAATACACATTTTTTAAAAATGATTTAACAGGACCTTGAATTGCCACTTGAGACTGCTTGAGGATGTCCCATATACAGGGTGCTGTTTAAATTGAAACAACAGCCAACTTGTTATTAGTGCAAACATGACCTGAATAGCACAGCACTCCAGTGTTGAACTCTTTCTTAGAGGTCTTCTGGGCTTTTGTTGTAATTTCAATGAAGAGCTTCCCACTTACTTGCTACATTGGTAACCAGGAAGTCTTAGTTCTTGAGCACAACCTTACTAGTTCGTCATAAAGTTCACAAAACCCCACAGCTCCTCGCTGAATCAGAAAAAAACTGGTCAATAAAATGATGTATCTAGATCTCTGTTGGACATTTTTGCCCATACGGTCTTATTTTACTTTTTTTTAACCATTTTTATAAAACCTATAGACAATCAATAAATATAGATAGATTTTTGCTTCTTCTTGTTTTTTCTAGGCCAGTGATTTTTATATGGTAGTGTTTTTAAATTTTTTTTTAAAATTTTGCTTAAGGCAATTGATCACTTTTTATATGACTTAAATGCCACTCGCTAGCTCTCATAGAAACCAAACTCTCCAAAACAAAGCCTGTTCATCCGTAGGTCTTTTACATCATTTCCTCATCAGCAGCTGGAATCATTTGGGGAAGGCCAGAGTTCTGGTTCTGTCTACTCAGCTAAATGACACAGATTCTCAGCACTAAGAATCTATGTTATTCTCAGTGCTGATTTTGATCAATTACTCAGTTGAGCTCTGCCATTAGAAAATATTCCAAAGTGGTGATTAAAAGAACCAGCTTTGAGAACATGTTTGTTCCCAAACAAATGCTGCCAAGTAAAGCTTCCTAGACTGTTTTGTTTCTCAGGACTTGTTTCCACGCAGAATACTTACGTCACCTGACATGGATTTGACTCCAGGTTCCACAGCATTCAGTGGCTGGCCTGCTTTACTGCTGCATGTGTGTTTTTAATATTTGTTCATGTTTCCCCATATCATTTTTTAAGAACTTCCAAATTCAGGCAGAAAAGTCACAACTCTCCCTGATCACTACACGTCCAGCATCTAAACTGTGAAATCTTTTTGTGTGTTCTACTGATTTTTTGTTGTTATCTGTGCACTGATAGCAGATGAAGGGCTGATTTTATCTTCTTGCACATAATGTTGTTTCGTAATGCGCTTTGGCTCGCCATTGTGAAGCTGACTGGGTTTTTCAAAGTGAAGAACTCCATCTAGTGGATAAAGCCGGCCACTAAACAACAACTAAAATAAACGTAGAAATAAGAGCTTCAGAACTAACATTACTGTGTTTGTCTACTTTCAGGATATAAATGTGTGCATTCTCGAGAATTACCCTGAGTGCTCCAATCCTCGAGTTTTCTACATCATTCCCTATTTCTGTGGACAACATCCTAAGTGCAGGTAGATTTAACTGCTTTGGGAATCTTTCACTTCAATTCTTTTGACATAAATATTGTTTGACTGCTCACTTGTACTACTTGAATGCCTCACAGAGAACCTGGAGTGTGGGCTTTGGAGAGGGCCAAGCAGAATGTGCTGGAGAACTACCTCCTTGTGGGGATCTTGGAGGAGCTGGAGGATGTTCTGCTTATGCTGGAGAGACTCTTACCCCATTACTTTTCTGGAGTACTTGACATTTATAAGAGTCCAGGTTGGTGCTAACTAATAAATATCATGATGTTTGTCATTCTTAAAACAAGACGCAAAGACTTTAATTCCATCTGATAAAATTATTATTTTTTTAATTCTGTTTGGGCATGATGCTTATATCAAATCGAGAAATATGTGAAAAGACCCACTCACAAAGTTCTTACCAATCACACAATAGTTTTGTATGCAGAAAGGGGTCAAAAGTTTGCAAGGAGCTTTGTGACAAGAAGGGGCGACATGAGGCTGAGAACAACATGACGTGATTTATGTCATTCTACTGCAACAATCAAAAATGATTTTGGCAGTTTGGCTTGACTATGCAGAACCATTAATTCATTAAGTTGGGTTTCTTACATGTTATCTTGCCTAAATTAGTGAAATTAGAGAAATTAGGTCAGAGATGGCCACATTTCCAGGTTTATGGGAAGTGTTTAAAATACACACTGAGGTCAGACATGTTTATTTAGTTTCAGGAAGCTTACCCATGTTCCCTTAGTACAGGACCTTTGACCAAAGTACATATGCTCTCTCCATTCTTTCCTAAATGACTATGCATTCATTCAAGATATTCACTACAGATAACTATTTTTTATTTTAAAATATTTAAAAAATTTGTTCCTGATTAAAATAATGGACTGTAGAGTTCTGCTTCACCTTACACCAACATCAACATCCAGGCATGGTAATTTCATTCATTCATGCTATTTCATTTCCTCAAAAATGTGATGAAATTACCCATTTCAGCATAAATAAAAAAATACAATTGTTTTACTAATTAAGCTTGATATGTATAAAAAAAAAGTTTTAGCAAGTGGTTTATTAAATGAATTCAACTGTATTAACTGACTTGTCTTTTTTGTTTGTTTGTTTGTTTGTTTGTTTTTTTCCTTTTTTATCAAAGAATATCGAAAAATGGGAAACCTGACCGGCACGGTCAGAAAACATACCCCTACGCTCGAGGCCCTGCAGGTGTTGTATCACCGCATGCGCTACGAGTACGAGTTCTATGACTTCATCCGTGATCAGTTTCACCTCATGAAGAAGAAAATTGGCCTGAGATCCACCTCTCGCCCGCCGGTCTACCCGCCAGATTTCTTACGTGAACTGGCCCTTCGAACACCTGAACCTTTAGATGAAGATGAAGAGCTAGACTCAGACCTGGAGGATGCCAACAGCTGGCTGGTTCATCCCTGAAGAAAGCGTAAACAGTGGATAAAGCCAAACAATAGAGTCGACTAAAACTGGCTAAAGAAAGCTTGAGAAACCCACAGGAATAGTGGCAGTATGTCCCATCTTTTGGATGTTGGCACCTTTACTTTGGAGAGTTCGGTTTTTCGTCTTCAAGCTCTTATGATGAAAGACCCAGCACTTTGGACTTACGCAACTGAAAGAAACAAAAATGATCTATTTAAGAACTGGACAAGGACAGATGAAAATAATTACAGGCTCAAGTTATTTCATAATTGATTTTACTGGAGCTTGTTATGAGGGTTTTATGATCTTAACTGTTATAATCTCCAGGAGAGATTAGAGGGCAATTTAATGTGTTGGGATATACACTAAATGTTGAAGAGGATTTCAGAGACATTTCCAGTCAGACTTTTATTTTATAAAAGTGCTGATTTAATTTTAAAAAATGACTTGGAGGGGGGGAAGGGGGAGTGCCAAAAGTATTATATGTATATTAGTTGTGCAGGACTGTTATAAGTGCCAAATCTCATTAGGATGTCCAGTAACTGTGAGACAGGAAGCTTTGGGATCACAGTTGGTAACAGTTGCATTAAGTTAAGTCAGTTGTTATACGATGTTTATAACATTTTAAGGAATTGTCAAATGTTGTAAGGTATGAATGAGGGTTAAACCAAACACATCTATTATGAATTCAGAGAATTCCACCTAGATGTACATGAATGACTGAGTTTGACCTTGCCAACAGAGTAATTTAGAATAGTTTTGGGAAATACAATTCTTTTAGAGTATGTCAGGGGTATGAGTTACATGCTAAAAGCATTAGGGTGCCTCATTTGTAATCCAAAGGTGAAAAGAAATCAGAGTTTACCAAATAACTATTCTGCTGTGATGCTTTTTTAAACTGTATAAATATCCTGCAGGGTTTTTTATTTTGTGAAATAATGCTTTGTGAACATCTGCAGCAAAATGAGGGATTTGATCACAACTGGATAGCATTTTGCCTTTTATTTTGACTTGGTTATGAATGATATTTGCTTGCAAGGTATGGAAGTGTTTGTGATCTTTTGTGTTTTAGAGAGTACTGAATTCTTAAAGTGATGTTCTTTAAAAGATTATAAGCAGTTAATATCTCACCCTCAGTAAAACTCTACATATCTTCATTTAGAGTTTTTTGGATTTGCTGTCACTACATGCAAAGGCTAAGCAGAAACTGTCAAGCACCAAAGGATTTTATGGCAACTGACATCTCAATAACATTAAACAAGTTTCTTTTTTGTTTTTTTAGATCACTTGAGAAACCCTAAACTATCATTAGGTTTGCTTGACTTTTGTTGTTTACAGAGGAGCTGATAATTATTGAGATAATGAAGCTCAGAGATGTTGCATCACCAATAATGTTCCTGTATCAAGCAAGTACTTAGATCACAGTTGGCCACATTTCCAGACAACTTGTATAAAAGAAGATTTAATGAATGTAAGAAGCAAAAGTCTCCATTCTGATTTACAAACTTTTGTAACGCTTTATTTTTCTATGTGACAGATGTTTCACACAGGTAAATATTACTAGTGCTTCAGCTCCGATGCTAACTATTTTGCTTATAGTAAATAAAGACACCCAACAAAAGCTGTTAACTGCTTAGGATCTTTGAAAAGAGCCACATTAAAAAATTGAACTTGAGTTATCTGTTTATGTCAACTCACAGTAACTATTTTTTTATCTTTTTTTTTTTTTAATCACTTCTAGCTACTGGTAGAAGTAGCATAAAACCCACATAGCCATAAGCTAACATGTCAACTACAGACTTAATCAACTCCTCATAACCTGTCCTCTTGGTATTGTTGCATTTATGTTCTAAGTGTTTTATTTCATATCAATTTAATTTATTATTTTGTAATCATTTGCATTCAAGATAAAATTCTCAGGAAGGAAAACAGTGTTTAGTGTGTATCATGTTTCTCAAAGTGATGAGACTACACATGCCATTTCAATGTGTCTACAGTGGGAAACTGGTTCATAATAAATTCATTTCATCATTTAAGGCCTTTGAGATAAATGTCCTTTGAATTTGCAGCTTTTTTTGGCTAAGAATGTATTTTTGCAAACGTGATATTTTTGTTGTTGTGGCTATCCTGCTCTGATTGCTCCAGCTTATCTCATCTTACCAAACCTCAATATAGGTCTCTTTTTCACAAAGAAGGGAGAACTTATACCATAATACATGTCCTGCTATTTCTTTCTTAAGCATAATTTTATTTTAGTAGACATACCTTTATACCGATGCTTTAGACTTTATGAAGGGACCTTTTATGACTGCGAGTTTAATTTATAAATAGATAATATTGTTCATTGAATCAAATCCAGTGTAAAAGAAAAAAAAGTGTTTAACCTGTAAAATGCTGTGAAGACAAAAAAATTCTCAGATTTGAGTGAAAGATCCAAAGCTGTTAATGAAAAGGCCACTGAAGCACACAATTTCTGTAGCAGTCTGAATATGGAGTGTGAGATAGAGGAGTGAAACTTCTTACTTAATGGAATAGGACATAAAGGGGAGAAAGAAAAGTGCTGTCTCAACCCACTGTTCTTCAATTTATTTAAAAACAGTGTTGCAGGTTAAGATTTTTTATTTATTTTTTTTTTTTTTTATGTTATCAGTCAGGTTCTATTGTCGCAATTTCCTGATTCCACAAAACTGGCAGTAATAAGGAATGGGCAACATTTTTTTTGTTTTTCTGCTTTTTTCCAGTACAGTGTAATTTCTGTATACTGAATTAATTTCCATCAGTTGACAGAAGGAGTGGTTAACATTAGCAGGAAAATTTCAGCCCCAACTGCAGCAGACTTCTTTAATTTTTTCCATCCACACAAATGTAAACATTGGTACAGACTTTTCAGGTAATCCATGTGCAGTTTTTCCACTCAGAGGCTGAATACAAAGATTTACTTCATGTGAAAGGTGATGCAGAGAGAGTGAACTTTCTGCTACTGCTTCAGTTGAACTTCGTCTGCTGCAACAAACAGGAAACAGTGTATGTCAGATGTTCACAAAAGAGCATAGACAAATTATTTAACTGAAAAGCTTTGTCTCTTTACTTCTTCTTTTCTAGCAGAAGACATTGAAATAAGCTGTGGATGTGGTATTTATGAAACAGTCTTTATTTATTTTCTCTGCTTGATATCATTGTAAAATATGTTTCCTAAAGCAGAAACATAAATGGAATTGAAAAGCAAATCTACGGTAGGCATGAAGAGGAATACATTCTCAGTGTGTTACATGTATTTCTCTATTATGATAAAAACAATGGCAATGAAGCCATTTGTGATGATTGTAGATCTGATTTCCGAGCACCAATGCTTCAATTTCATAATTTACCCTCCTAATGCTCTCTATGGCTATAGGAAGCCATACATCACCTCAACACAACAGTTTGTTCTTGGATTTGGTCCAAACATCTGGAGATTATATCTTGGCTCCTGAACACAGTAATGACGTGCATATCCTTGAGTATGTCAAGCATACAGATTGCTAACAGAAATACAAGCATGAGGAAAAACTGAACTAAAGTTCTCAACAATAGATTAAACCAGAAAACACACCCACATACACAACCCGTAAATATGGGTTCAAGGTCAAGGAAGTAATGAGGCTGTCAAACTGATGTTAAACTGTAATACTTTAAGTTGTTCACAGTCGTCTGAATGCCCTGAGAATAATTTCTAAAAAAGGCACTTTTCCTATTATGATACATTCCACAGTGCAAACAGCCTAAACTATATCTTAAATAACTTACTTGTAAAGCAATAAGTCTATTTTGTTTTAACTTAAATAATTACAATAAATGTAATTCTGTAGGCATCTTTATCCGTCCAACCATTGTCGTCTTTAAAAATCAGCGTCAAGTACAAAAGTAATACTAAAATTGATCTGACCCTTTAAGTATTATTCATTTTCCTGTGGTCTCAAAATATGTACTTAACATTCACACATTCGTACTCTTTCGTTGATCAAACATTGACCCATGTAGGTAAGCAGAAGACATTGAGTTGAAAAGTCCTCAGGGCCCCATTTTGTACTGAATTGTTGGTCAGTTTGCCAAAAAAAATGTCCACAAAAAACAAACCCTAGCTCCAACGATTTCATAAAAGCTTTTTTGTTTTGGGTTTTTAAATTTTCCACCAGTACAATAAACCATTGATAGGTTGTTTATCTTTCATTTCTCAGTTCTTTCCTCATATGGCCTGGTTTCCCAGCAGTGAGGAAGCTCAGGCTTTAGCTTCATGTTGGTTTAGCTCCATCCCATCCTCTGCATCTTTGTTGCCAGGGCTTGAATTCTTCTTTCTGGGTTTGCTTCCAAGAGATTTAGCCTCTTCTAAAGTGGTGGGGAGAGGTTTGCCCAAGGTTCAGGTAAGAGCAAAGTAAGTACTCCAATTATAAATGCCAGGATTCCTACAATGAGCTGAAAAAAGATGGTAAAAGTATATCTTTTGTTGAAAAAGCATATAAAATGAGAATATTGTGACAAGAGGGACACAGACTATGATGCATTTAAACAACATATTAAACAAATTTCCTTAGCATGCTGAGCTCCTCAGTAAAGGTGGACTCATCTCAAAACCATGCAGGAACTTTTTTTAAAACTCTATTTCATCAGATATATGGCTTCACTAAGAAAATCTGTCTAAAAATTGCATATGCAAATTGTGACCTGTTAGATTCTTATGTTAGAGCAAAAACAACATTGAAGAGTTTAAAGATTTTGATTAGGAAGAATAAATATTTAACATAACAGATATTTAACATATCTGTTTCATTTTTTCTTGTTTTGGCTGAGAATTCAGATTTAGTACTGCCAGAGGAAAAAAATACCCAGTAATGAATTAGGTTTCTGGGCAGAAATCCCTTCATGTAGGGGATGTTTTGCTACAGGTCAAGCGCTGAACAGAATAAATCAGCTTGAGTTGTTGAGTCAGTCGATCCTGTTAGAAAAGACCAGGAAGACTCATCCTTGGATTGAGGCGTAGCCACCACTAATGTGGCTTCTTTTTGCAACTCCTCACCACAGAAACCAATTTGAGCCAATAAATATAAACTTTGCGGGTATGATTTTGAGAGCATGTCTGGGATTGCAATCTTTAGTTTGGATCTGACCGATAAAGAAAGGGTAAGAGGCATGCTGTTGTGACAGGTCCAGTTTTCTACACATTGAGGCTGATAGATATTTAGCACATTCTCATCTGTCCCACAGAGAATGCATACAGATGGAACGCTGTGAAAGCAACATTTGGCTTTATTAACAGATAAAGGCACACAAGTTTTAAAAAAATGTTTCTGCCTGAGGGTGCTGTGGTGACACAGGGGGTAAGCACAACCCACATATGGAGGCCTTAATCCTCGACGTGGCTGTCGCAGGTTTGATACCCAGTCTGGCGACCTTTGCCGCATCTCTTCCCCCGTCTCTCAATATCCACGTTCCTGTCAATTTACTATCAAGTAAAGCCCACTAGAGCCAATAAAACCTTTGAAAATGATTCTGCCTTCCTGGTTTCCTAATTATGTGAATGGAGTTAACTAGACATACGCATCCTTGTGGAATCTATAATAGTCACTTAAACCCTAATGGATTTGATGCAGAAAGATATAAATGAAAAAAAAAAACAGTATCCCTCAAAAAGCTTGCAAAAAAAAAAAGAACAAAAAAGGTCATACCTGAGGTAAATAAACCCAGACATCAGCCAGGTAAACGCAGAAAGGAGCCACAACACTACCAACACGACACATCATGCTGCCACTACCGACTGCCAGAGACCTGCAGAGGGAACATTCAAGCACGATGCATTAACTTAGTCCAGATAGACCAAATCAAGAGAACAGAATTGCCATTGGTGCAAATTATTGATTACAGCTATTTTAGAAGAGCTATGGAACCTCGAATAAGAGCTCTTTCCTAAATTTGCAAGATATTTCTATGAAGAAATAGTTATAAAAGGAAGCCACATATTGTCATATGTTTTGTGTATGTTAGAATTTGTATTTTTTTCCTCACCTGATGACAGTAGGGTAAAGCTCACAGGTATACAGGTAGATGAGGCCAAAGGCAATTGCCACAGCAAATTTTCCAATCATACTGAGAGCGACGGCCAGAGACTCTATTTCCTTCAGGTCGGGTTGGGTAAAGTTTGTTGATAGGAGACAATAAACAGAACAAGACCGTAAGAAACAAGTGACATAGTGATAATTTCACATTATATACAAAGACTTTAACTTGCTATATTGCATGCAATTTTTTTTATTTCTTAGAATAAAGCTAGACTTTTGAACTTACAGACTCACTGATTCACCAACATAATTCATCTAACTCTTCATCATCTAACCCTACCCATAACCCTAACCCTAACCCTAACCCTACCCTACCCTAAGAAGATCCCTTCTTATGTTATTTATGGCAACATGAGTTTCTTCCCCTTGAAGGCTCTCGCATTACAAATAGCTGAAGGGTCACACTACGAGTGATTTATTTGCAATGAAAACTAGCCACATTATTGAGCAATGCTGACCAGAGTTTTCCTGCTATGCTTTTTATAAGTGATTAAAGCATCAATATAAATGATTGATATCTCTAATTTTCACAATAATGCTGTTTTGCTTGGCAAAACTGAATCTTTTTTGTAAGAATCATGTATTCATCTGGATGTTAATTATTCATAGAAATTGAAATGTATGCCAAGCAAAAAAAAATCTAAATGTAATTTCACTGACTTTAAAGAACAAATATTTTTCTAATCTGTTTTTACCCAGATATTTGCTTGTATGTAAGCAAACTAGCAATTTAACAGTGTTCTGGATCATGATATCAATTTCTCCATTCCATTTGGAAGAATCTGAAATGAGGTGCTGTTTAAAAAAAAAACAAGAAAACAAAATTGTTTTATGTATACATCCGAATGCACCTGGGTGTTTAAAGTGTAAACACTAATTAGCCAATGATATTTTGAGAAACATCTCAAAATTGAGTTCACGCTTTTTGCAGAAAGAAATGAAGCTATGTACCTGACTTT